GAGGATCATGAGTGCTTCAGTTCCTTTAAATATTTGCTTATACATGTGAAGACAGGCTGGCCTTACTCCTACTTCTTCCTTGTGACAAGTCCTGCCCTACTCAAGGAATCTCTCACCTTGACTCAACAGCATATTTCCACAGCAGAAAAACAGAAGGCATTTTTCTCTGCTCAGAGTCTGAGACAGACAAGTACTTAAATTATTGCATGCAAATGAGGACTCTTATTTCTGCATGCCAGACAAAAACAAATCATACAGTGGTCTGTATGTTAAGTGAAACTGAAAAGATTCAAACACCTCTTTACCATGGTGACTCAGTCTGGTTTTGATAACAAATAAATATAGTGTCTCCCTGTAAAGAAATATTGGTATTAATCATCCTGTTTAAGGAGAGGTGATGTTTTTGGAAAGAATGAATCATCATTTGTTCTATGTTGTACTCCAGAGTACTGTAAGAATGAGAATTATCCACATAGGCAGACAGTGTCTTCACTGAAAAATGTACTTAAAAATTTAATCCACAAAGAAATTCTTCCTCTGGAATTTATAATCCCTTCACTCAGTGAATAGATATTCCAGTTTCAGATTTCTCTCTGTTTATATTGGGAATTATCCCTGTTTCAGCCACTGGTAACCATTGACCAGTGTAGCTGCAACATTGTAAAGCCCAAGTGTAGATAAAAACAGCTGCAATTTGTTCTGATTAAATTTATCCCAGTTTCAAGCTGAATGTCAAGTACAGACACAACATAAGAGCCAAGTCTATATGAACAATTAGTGCATGGCAAGTTGAGGTGTAAATCTACATCACACTAGCCTGCCCTGCTCTAACTATCCATATGGTACCTGCTACTGTGCACTGAAAGTTCTGCAGCGCACTTTGATCTACTCACTTTGAAATGAGAGTAGAACAAAGTGCACTAGGGTACTTTTAGCGCATGGCAGAGGGTCCATGTGGACAGTTAGTGCACAGCAGGCTAGTGTGAGATAGATTTACACACCAGCTTGCCATCCACTACTGTAACTGTTTATATAGACAAATATTTGAATGATGCAGTGCTGAATTTCAACCAGGCCTGACCCAGGCCTTTGCATTTGTACTCAAAATTTTGCAGGCACATGTAATTTTTTTGTTCAGCATTGGTAATTATGTTCCTATTCAAGTCAATAGCAGTTTTTCTTCAATGCTGAGTGCTTTTGAAAATGCCACTTGTGGCAGTCTTTGTACCTCGTCGACCCCTTAAGTCAGGGGGGATGGAGGTAAATCTGCCTCTCTATACCTACATCCATTTTCTAAGCCCCCCCAGTAGTCCACACAGTATGGCCAAATGGCCAGGGTCCACCTATTGCCTCTTCCCGAGTGGGGTAATGCAGCCTAGCAGCCAGAGTTCATTCAATGTGCCCCTAGGCCAGTGCAGCCCAACCCAATGGCTAGAGTCCACCTAATTCTCCTTCTCTAGTGGGATAGCATGGCCTAGCAGCAAGAGTCAATACAGCCACCTTTGGAGGCAAAACAGGGGGCCTAGTGCCTGGGGGCCATCACAAGGAGTTGGCGGCCCCCAGTAGCGGGGCCCAGGCCCATCTAACTCCACCGGGCCCTGACCCAGGGCCCTGACAGCAGCAGAGCGGTCCACCACGGGGTTAGCGGGGAATCCTACCAAAACACGCTGACCTCATACGGGTGGGAGGTACCACTCCCTCACCCTCCCTGAGTCACTTCCTACTGGCTCTCCTGCAGCAGTAGTCCATATGGCACCAGACACTTCCTGGGGTTCTGGTAGTGGCAGGCCTCTGGCCCAGGTTTCTGGCTCTGCAGCTCTCGTAGGTAAGGGCTGTAATGGCTCCTGGGCTGGAGCCCCTGCCAAGTGTCCTTCCCCCTCAGCAGTCAGCCCGGACTGAGCAGCTCTGCAGGCTTTTATACTTGACTTCAAGGTGGAGCATGCCCAGCAGAGCCTCAAGGGTGGGGCTTCCTCTGCTAGGAGGGAAAGATTAACCCCCTCCCTACAACTGCGGGGCCGATCCACCCCGTCACACCACCGAAAACATTTAAATGTCTGATTGTACTTGATGTGCATATAAATGTAGATTCAAAATTGCACCCACAACTATTTGCAGCCACAAAGTATCTGACCTTTTCATATTCTATTTATCTCTCACATTTGAAAAGCATCCATCACTATAGTATCTAGGCCAACCTGTAAAAATATTTTACTGGTGATAAAACCAAGAATAAGTATATTTCTGCTACAGCTAACTGAATTATGTGGCTCGTGTATTGCAAGTAAAAACTGTTGCACAGATTTTACAAAGAACTGACTAAGGAGTCCACATTTTCCCCCAGGTTATAAAGATTTGAAGGCAAAACTTCCTATATCTTTGCCTTGTGATTCTTCCTTGATCCTTTCTTGCATTTTTAGTGCCATGGGTAAATTCCATTTTTGCACATTGGCAATATAGGCAGAGGATAGAAGACTATACAAGAGTTTCCTAATATGGTATGTGGTTGTTCAGTCTTCCTGTGGTATTCAGGCCTAGTAGGAGCTTTTTGTTTTTATTTAAC